GACTCTTTAAAAGCCTGGAGGGGTACAAATGGATGCAATCTAATTTTTTGATGAATATTCAACCTGCTATGACGTCACTGGAAGGGTAAGTCAACTGTATTGTTAGCTAACGTAATCGACCCTAGCTGTCCTTGTAGGTAGCCAGCATAGATATATCACTGTGAGTACAGTAGACACCATAAATGTCATGAAATCTTACCCATTTAATCCCAAATTTTGTGTTGGTTAGCACGTTTTATTGCAGTGAACCATTTTAGTCGTCTGACTATCGGGATCCTTAGGAATACGATAAAATTATTTCCCCTTTGCTTTATGGGACAATCGCGTATGTATTATATATATATAGGAAAATGCGTATTTTTGAATTAAAGGTAACTTATAGATTTAATATGGGCTGCTTTTGTTGCTTGACACTTTTTTATTGGTCATTTTGTATGTTTTACGAATAAGATAGGCTACAAGGTTAAGAAGCTTACTTAAATGTAAAATGTTTTTTCTCTATTTTGCAATAGTGAAAGACGGCTTCCCTTATTGATCACGTCTCGGGTAGACTGCATGTTTTCTTGTGCGGCTGGATGTTGGACTCATGAAAAATAATCATGTTGTTTGTATCTGCCAAAACTGATTTACTGAAGTCAAAACACGGACGGGATTGGCGTTAGCGCGAATTGTGAAGCGGGAGCGACCAGCCGGCAGAGGATTCTGCAGCCTTCCTCGAACAGTTATGTTCAGGATTTTCTGATTTACCTAAAGGTGCCATAGAATGCATTGATACAATATTTTAAATTGTTCTCTGATATCTACATAGAAGGTATGTGGCTTAGGTAAGGGCAAAAAATCTCCAGAAATGGTTTTACTTGTCCATTTACAACCTTAGGATTTGTCCCTAGAATTAAATGGTCTGTTTTTACCTTATTTGCAAGGGTCATGAATAATAATGTTGAGCTCTGCTCTGATTGGCTGTTTCACAGTGCAGCTCAATGTTGAACTCTGCTCTGATTGGCTGTTTCATAGTGCGGCTCAATGTTGAACTCTGCTCTGATTGGCTGTTTCATAGTGCGGCTCAATGTTGAACTCTGCTCTGATTGGCTGTTTCATAGTGCGGGTTCTGATTCGCCTGTTTTTCAGTGGTCTTTTGCATGCGCGAGATTTACATAAGAAGGAGGAAACAATGGTGTATGAGGCTCATGGTATGTAATTTCCATGTACAGAACTGTTATTATTCAACTATGCCAAGTTAAATACAGTTACTGTGTGAGAGGGCAAGAAACGGGCCAATGGAGGTCACGTACGGGACACATAAATTAAGCCCAATATACGAGACGGTTGGCAACCCTAGCTTTCCCCTGCCTGTTCTAGCATCCTGGCGCACAGCAGCTGTCCACCATGTTGAAATAGTAAGGTTTGTAAGGTCTAGTCTGGTTTTAAATTATTGTTCTACTGTCAACTATTTTACCGATGTCCTTACGTTTCTGGACCTGGGAACAGTTGCATTACTGTCTACCAAGGGTCAAAAAACCAGCATATGCTGGTTAGGTATGTTTTGAAGCTGGGATG